TTTCCCGTCCACCTTTACTGTTTTCTTTACAACAAGGCTTTCAAATAAATCGTGGTTGCACGGCGATGAAGCATCGGTGTTGAACACTGATGTCATGCTGTCGATAATGATTTTAATGATGGGAAATTGATAGAACTGTCTTTTTATAAACTGTAACGAGGCCAACATTATGTAACAGGTGAAGAAGTCATATGATATTTTCACACAGGTGTCTTTGTTAGGTGCCGTTGACAATTCCCGGAGTCTGCAAGATCTTTTTGTCTTTGAACTGAAAGCGCCTCGACAACCCACGACGTGTTTCGCCCTCCTTGGGACCCGTCCAGTGGGTGCAGTCCCCGAGTTTCCGTCAACCTGGTGTTCTAATCGGATTTCAGCTGAATTCATTTAAGTCTTCCTCATCATAACCAACTCTAGTGAGAAACAGTATTTGTGAATTATGGTTCATGTATTGCGCTCACTTTACACATGACTTGGTATGATTCCAGTCCATTCGGTTTATCTAGCACTCACTGTCTTCGCTTATTCGGCTTTCCAGACCGGTTCCTCCATAATCCCGCACTGCATCGTGGTACTACCGAACACGGACGGCTTGCAGCTCCTCTTATGTTATGATTGTAAGTGTATCGATCATGATGCTGTTTGTATGTTTTCCCTCGTCGCTTTCTAACAGACTCACATCCTGCTGGTGACAATGCGCGTTTGGGTCCAAAGTTCACTGACTTTTCGGGCGTCTAAATCGATGTCCCATACATAATACAATCACCTTGTCGACGCTCTAATTTCTTGTTTAAATCAGCTACAGCTGCTGTGTTTGGTGTATTGATAGTGCGAGCACCAGTCATCTACGGCCGTTCTTTTATGATGTGCGGCCTATCCACAGCTTCCTATCTACATAAGGAGCAGGCTATTCACCCATCCAGGACCCACAGGTTAGCCCATATTCCCACGGTCGTGATTCTAGATTCGGATGTGTGCACCAGGACCCAAACTACTAACGTCTGCAAAACACTAACTGTCAACCCACTGTTATGGCCGCCTTCCAGACTTTTGGGGCGAAAGTGAACCGAACATTCTTTAAGATGTAAACATGAGCTCTGTTTCTTTGATCGCTTCGTTGTTTGGGTCTTTGAATCTCAATTTTTGGACGCATTCAAATTCACCTAGGGTATGTGTTGCGGGATTTCCATAGTTATAACATCATTGGATCTGTTCGCACCATCCAAGGGAGCATCATCAGTGCGCCGCTTCTTGCTTGCGCTCAGCCTTGAGCTGTAACCTGTTCATAATCATCCCACTCGCAGTCTGACTGATCCGTTCGTGATCTGTGTTGCCTCGTGGTTTGCATCCCTTGCGCCCAGTCGCTTCACCACATGCTGTCCTTGTATTCTCTTCTGATTGGTTCGTTCGCGCTCTCTATTGCGTCGCGGTCAACGTTCTTGTTGTTTGATCGGTCCATTCCCAACTTATTCTCATGGACCTAGTTAGGTTATTTGGAACCTCCATTATTTTGACCATTTCGGTCCTTGGGTTTGCTTACCGTCGGTGGAATTACTTTGTCCTTTGAATCTAGACGTCCTTTTCAATTTCATTGCTTTCTTTGACTCCTGTCCGGCTCAGAATTGGATGGTTCCGGATTGCTTCGTGGGTGTTCCTTTGAGCTTTTGCGCATCATATTATAACTTCTCTGGTGGCCTGCGTATTCATTCAATGCTTTCTAAGTTTGATGACTGCAACCGTACTGTCTTGCCGACCTACTTCCATAACTTGTTGTCTTGAATTTAGCCGAGGGTGTGTACGTCGATACCACTGGGAAACTGACAAAGAATGTCGCTATTCAGTGGGGTGAGGCACCCACATCTGTTGCCTACATCTCCACCGGTCAACTCCTCGGCTGGGGAGTGAAAGCGATTGAGGTTCGATCAGCGGAAACTGGCCATTTGGATGGTGTATTCATGCACAAACGTGAACAGAAATTCAAATTCTTGTGTGAACGAAATGACAAGGTTAGTTATTGTTGACCACAATGCAATCCATGTTATTTGATTTCGTTGTTTAGTCCGAGACGTGGACTGCTTGTTTTGCTTTTTCATCTAAAACGCGACGGGTGTGCATTCAGACTTTCTGTGGGGTGATTTTGAAAATAGCTCCTTCTTTATTTCTCTGCGATGTCACAGGTCTTCTTCTCCAACACACGTTCCGGTCCACCCCAAGTATCTATGATGACACTGAGTGGTGTTCACTGGTAACCCTGTGCGCCACGGGTTCCCGATTCTACTCGCCTTCGTTTCACGTTGCCCCGTCGTGCTAGATGAGGAGGACCGGTTCTGGCTTGTCAATTGGTGAATCCCTCCTACGTGGAACTTTTGGATGGTCGGGCACGCTTTCTTTTTTCTCCAACTTATTCGTCACATCCCTAATGCTCAGTCGCCGACAAGACACCCTTGTGTGCTGATTCCCTTAAGATGTCGCATTTCTCCAACCTTCATCCCATTTTCCTGGATGACACACCAGTCAGCTGACCGCTTTGTCCGACCGCGTTTTCCCCCGACAGACACATCCAACCGCATCTGACCACATGTTATGGCCACAAGCTCACTGCCCTATTTCCTACGTGCTGTCCGGGTGATGATTCTGCGTATACCTTTTTCTATGTTTTTTTTCTTACGTTTGATTTTCCATTCGTTGGGATTGTATTTAGCCTTGATTTCCGAAATGCTTGCGCGCTTCTTCAGTTCCAAACGTTTAACCCGACTAGGCACAGTTCACTACGATTATCCTCATCATCATCATCATTACCATCCTTCAAGTTATGCTTTCGATCTTGATAACGATTTAGACTAATTTGGACTTTTCTCAAATTGTACAGTAAGTAAATTCCTAATGACAGTATCATCCCTCGCTTGTCCCGTCTTCCAACACGTGGTCATTCTTTGAAAAGGCTAGTGCAATGATCGCCAGCGTATGTTGGTTTGTCGTTCCACCATTTTCCACCGGTCGGCCTTATCCTGCATATCTTGGATACCTCGGGTTACTTCATACTTTGTTTAGCGTCTAGAGAATCCAGGAGTATGTTCTAGGCACAGAAGAAATTGATGATCAAGTAGATGTACATAAGGTTGATGGAAACTCGGGGACTGCGCCTACCTGATGAGCCCGAACTGGAAGGGCGAAACCGGTCTTGGGCTGTCGAAGAGTTTTCAGCGACGTTGTGAGTAGTTTCCTTTATGAAAAGGTTCATGATCTGCCTGGCAGTGTTCACTTTTAACTCCAGTTTCCGTGTTCTCGCTTCAGTGAGTAACTGGGTGACCTACAGAATGTACAATGTACCTTGTTCACATCTCAAGCGTCTTAGTTACTCATGTTTGGTTTAATTCCATCCACCGTCTTCTCTCACAGCGTGTCTGGCTGACGGCAAGACGGTTGTCGCGTTTGACTGGATATCTATTGTTCAGTCTTGCGGACCGCAGTGCAAATCCTATGTCGGCCCTTGGGATCCTGTTCTGTCCACTACGTTATCTCAAAATGTGCGGTAGTTTGAGGCGAATAAAATTTTTTTTAAAGCTGTATGTATAAGGTTCTTACAGAGCCTCTCACTAGGCCACGCCAGATACTTCGTGATAGTGTGAGAAGCGCCTATCTAAAAATGCTCGTTTCTGATTGGCTCATATTCTGACCAATCAATGCACGCCTTCGTATGGTTTGCCCAGTAGACATCTAGAGAACTGCATCGGAAATACCATAGGGTTTCGGTGACCTACCCTATCTTTAATCGTTGGTTCGTTCGCTAAACAACTAAGTTTGATTGCTACCGTTTCACGGTCAATCTGGGTGACGTCATCGGTTCAGATGAAGCAGTACGCACCCGTATGGGTGGTTGCGTTCAGCAAATAAACCAACGGCAATCCAACTTATTGATAGCTGTTCTCGGGTTTTTCTCATTTACCTACGGAGATAGTTCAGTACGAGGAAAAGTGAGTTTGAAATTTAACCGCTTGTTGTAGATTGAAAGCTCCTCAGAACAGGATGGAGAGATGGGGCTCTCTGAGTTGATTATTGGCACCGTTTTCTGATTACAGAGTTAGCAGAAATTCACCTGGTATTCCAACGCACCTAGAAACGTGTTTCAGAGGCCAAAAAATGAGTCGATGGTTTTCAGGTAGAATGCAACAGAGGCGTAGTAACTCCACTGTGGGGGAACACACAAAGTGGAAAAATTCAAGATATGGGTACGTCCGGTGCTCCGCTGCCGCACTCAGAACGTGGGACCAAGAATATTGCTGTTTCACGCCACACCGAAAGTTTCTGGAACAAGTGGAAGTTGTCTAACAACACAGCATCTCCAGGTAACATTGCTGGACGCGCGAAACACGATCCCACTATATCAGCGGATTCGACTCATGGTAGTGTGTGGTTGTCAGTCAACAATTAATTCACATAAGCAAACACAGCCTTAAAATGATCACGTGATCGGTTCTTATTTACCTACCTAAACAAAACTTTGCAAGCAATACTGCTAAGAAAAGGGTATTGGCGCTTCGGAACTTTTCAACAGTCGGAATCACTCTTTCAGGAAAGAAACGGCTCGTCAGCCGTGTGCCACATCCGATTACCTAAATTAGATGATTCGCCCAAAAAACCATCTTAAAATATTCGTAATGCACTACTCATAAGGCTGATGAAAGCTCTCGACAGCCCAGAGTGGTGACTGGTTGACTTCGGGTTGGCAGTGTTCCACGGGACGATGACGTTGATGATTGACCCAAACAGAAAAGACGCGCAAGTAATTTAAGATGCTACCGAAATAAATTCATCTGCAAACAAATTTGGCACTGCGAGGGATCCACCTGGAACCCAGCTGAATCTCTCGTTTTTGACGTTTCCAGGCAATTGAATGTGCTGCACCAGGTCGCCTCATGTTTCAGTCGCCACGATATTCGAGATATCGCGACACATGTATATTCGTAATGTAAGGTTGCTGAAAATTCTCCGACAGCTGTGGGCCCTGGTGCAGCACATTCAGTTACCTGGAAACATCACAAACGAGAGATTCAGCTGGGTTCCAGGTGGATCCCTCGCAGTGCCAAATTTGTTTGCAGATGAATTTATTTCGGTAGCATCTTAAATTACTTGCGCGTCTTTTCTGTTTGGGTCAATCATCAACGTCATCGTCCCGTGGAACACTGCCAACCCGAAGTCAACCAGTCACCACTCGAGTTGTTTACAATATTTCCATTCTTTTTTCAAGTGGTACTGTGAACCAATGTCAATAAATAAATATTTAGTTAGTTGTGGGTGCTTGAGGGATCTGTAGAATTCACGCTCATATCATTGTATGAGCAGTCATCCTGCCTTCACTGAACTGTGCAAAGCATTTGTCGTTCGCTGTTTTTAATCCTCGTTGATATGGGTGACCAGTTTCGAACTAGCGTGCTGGTTGATTGTGGTTGTGTCAATGAGTGCTCAATTCGCTTTTTCAATGAACTTCGATCCCAACTGAGATTTCGTCCTGTAAGTGTAGCCAATCTATGGCGAAAAGGTGAGAAACACTCCACAGCTGTTTCATCAGCAGTGCGCAGCTGGTGAAACTCCAGAGAACCTCGAACCCGTGACCTTAAAACTAGTGGTCTGGACACCTAACCGATCGACCACAAGTGGCTGGGCAGTAGTCTGATTGGCATTCACTTAGGATACAGCGCCCCCATCCTTCAAGCATAGAATCCACATCACGTGGTCACGCATCGACTGACTCGTCATGTGACTGCTTCTTCGATGGAAGCTTCACACATCTTGTCAAATTACTTTCACTCTGAGCTTCATAGAGATTGATGGTAGTATGAGACAGCGGAGGCGAGATGGTCCGATTGGTTAGAGCGCGAATTTACCGACTGGAAGGTCCGTGGTTCAAACCCGACCTCTGCCTCTCGGCTTCCCCTGTCTAGGCTTGGGCAATCTGGTAGTATTCTAGCCCTCGTGCTTCCTTCCGGTGGCACGGTAGCTAGGCACCGAAAGGGTGTTACAGCTGAACGAGACGAATTTGGCATTCAGCTGGGATTTCATCCTGTCTGTGGGGTCAATCCATGCTGAAAAGTCGAGAAACACTATGGTCGAGTTTTCCCGGTATCACGGACATTCGTCCCTTAGCCTCTAACAGTAGTATATCATTTCCTTTCCGGCGTTTCCTGAGTGTTTTCTATTCCAGTTTGGAAACTGACTGTGTGATTTTATTCTGATTGGTAATCGGTACAATAGTTCGTCGGATTCGTTAGCGTGGCTTCTCCAAGAGGGTGCGTCCCTGCTAAGCGTGTCCTAGTTTTTGGTCAAGTGTTCCTGGTTGGATACGCCCGTGGCACTAAAATCCAGGTGTTCAATTAATGTACTAGGGGGACTGGTAAGACATCTTTTTTTAAAACCGAACTCTATTTGTCGGGTGGTTTGCTTTCCCTTGTGAGCTTGTCTGTTTTTGTACTTAACACCGGCCTTCGTCTGGTTTTCGTGTTCTTAACCCTGCGTTTGTTTCGCTGATTCCATTTCTACAAGTTTCCCGAGATCCACTGTCACGAGGTCACTTGTTCTGCCACTGTTTCAGACTGCTTCCTAAGCTCAAATTGTTTAGGTATAAAATAAAGTGTTGGTGGAGCTGTTTAGTACTTTCAGTAGTCGTAGGCAGCGCACACCTCCGAATCCGCCAAAGATATTCGTACTCGAGACATTCTAGTTAGTAGTTTGTCACTGTATAATTCGGTCACAGGCAGCCCATCAGTAACTCGCGCCGAGGGGGCACAGCGCCACCCTCCGCAGTTCACACCACGTGGCTGTGTGTTGACTGGCTCCTCAGAAGGTCCAAGCGAGTTGTGGGATGTTTTCACATGACCGAACGTGGGTGTAGTCTTTGGGCTTCCTTGAACGTGGCCGTCAATATATAACGCACAATCGATTCCCAGATGGAGTACAACTGAAACGAGTCAGTCTTGCTGCGCCGGAATTGTGTTTACAACAGATGCTGAATTGGTCGTTCTGATGAGGTCTCATTACAAGAGGGTTGTAGGTGTTTTTGGGATTTGTGGAATCCATACTCACATCACTCGCGTTTGCACCGTCGTCCTCCTGTCCTGGGGTAACTACTCTTTTGGGTCCGCACCAGTGGTAGGGACACTGGATTCGAGCTTCGCTCTTGTTGGGGCTCATCAGCATTGCATGTCCTCGGTCGTGCCGATAGGCTTTCGAACTCCGGACATCTATCATCCGGAGTGAGTGTTACCCCTGCTCTACCGACGCACGCTGGACGCATCTGAAGGCGTACCAGAAGACTAGCAACTACGTAGAATGACTTGATTTTCTTGGCTCGCTCCAGATGATTATGACAATCTCAAGATCGTAACAACAGGCGTCTGTTGGAATTCCCATAAGAATACGGACAAGATAAGCACATACCTGGTGCATCGCTTTGCGCTCATTCGCGGAACTGTCGGAAGAAACCTAGCAAACAGCTTTGTTGTCAATAATACCGAGAAACCTTGCAAGTGTCACCCATCAAAACTGCCACGGAATTTCCCTGGGAAAAACATTTCAACCTAATTGGTCGTATCCAGCGACGGGCATCTCCCCACGCTACCAGGAAGACCAACTAACCAAGGTTTAACTGCAGAGATCTGGCCGGATAGTGAAATCCGAGAGTTCTTTTGAGACCCGCTTCACTGATAGCTTTTTTCATGCTAAGTGATACATCTAGGCATGCATCAGCCCATGGATCTTCTTTAAATGCAGTGTGACATGCCTCATTGAACTCAGTTGCAAACTAATTTGGTTTTGAGAGAGACCCAGCTGAATCTCTCGTTTGTGGTGTTTCCAGGCAACTGAATGTGCTGTACCAGGTCGCCTCATGTTTCAGTTGCTACGATATTCGAGATATCGCGATACATGTATATTCGTAATACACTACTCGTAAGGTTGCTGAAAATTCCTCGACAGCCCATGACCGGTTTCGCCCTTCTTGGGGCACAACAGGTCGGAGCAGTCCCCAAGTTTCCGTCAACCTCATGTTCTACTTGAAACCGAATTGCACGAAATCAGCGAAATACACTCATTAGCAAACAAATTTGGGTTTTCGAGAGACTCACCTAGAACCCAGCTGAATCTCTCGTTTGTGATGTTTCCAGCGCCTCATGTTTCAGTCGCTACGATATTCGAGATATCTCGATACATGTTTAGTCAACTTAATTCTGGGTCTTGGTGGTGCCACCTTACTCAAAATTGCTAATTTATCCTGCGGGCACAATGAACAGACAGACGTGAGACTCTATTAGCGAATGTTGAGTGTCACTTAGTAAAGCACTGTGATCACGATCCCGAATTTTTGTGGGTTTTCATTGGAGGTACTACCAGAACCAAGGCGAAAAAGCTCAGTTGCTAACGCAGTTGAGCTGTACAACTTTGTAGGACACTGATCTCGGACTTCTAGTCGACATCCACCTACAACAACCACGTCAGAACTACCATTTCTGGCCGATCAGCATCCAAACTGATGGCCATGGGAATCTTTTGCTACCCTCTTCAGTAACAGCCCTCCAGGGGGGTTCGTTCAGCTGTAGCACCCTTTCGATGCCTAACTGTTATGCCACCCAAAGGAAGCACGAGGACCGAGATACTGCCAGGTCGCCCAGTCCGACAGTCAAAGATGAGATTTGAACCAGGAACCTTTCGGTCAGCGGATTCGCACTGGTTTGGTGCTAGAATTCTAACAAATACATATAACCGGTGTCGAATCGAGGGAAATCGGTTATTTGCAGTTTCATCCCGAGGTTATAGACAAATCCCCGACGGCGTCTTAAGACCTATTTCCGCATTTTACGCGGACAGGCAGCTGATGAATTTTTAGACACCATTTGGATTAGGTCACTTCGATAGCTTTCAAGGTTGTTGCTTCTGTGGAACACTTTTAAATGATACCAAACCCTTTCTTTATTTTCAGAGGGGCAGGTTGGTCTTTGCCATACCTCAAACGCTCTGGAAGCTTATGACCAGAGATCAAAAAGTGTGGGGTGCTACCACCCAGGCCTGTAACAGATTGATCGTCACACCAAACGGTGCAGCGAACTATTGAGAATGTTGGTAGACAGGGCAGTCTAGATGGTCGTTTTTTGCTAAGCTGGGCAATCTGATTGCAGGCATTTCACCGCCCATGGACACCAGTGCGTTGTTAGGGAGCGTATTGGAGCGCACCGATGGATCGGTGATTGTTTGTTGAGTAGTTTCGCGTGCATTAATATACGTGCTGCTGGCCGGGGCTGATCTTCGCTCACGACTGGTTGTCCATTGTTCGGTCTGTTATCCTGGGCCCTGATTGGTCGAGCACGCGACCTTCGGGCCTGCGTTCACAATCAGATTGGTGCTGGATCGACTTGCCCTTGATCTCCCTGGGTGCTTATGAGCTCGCTCACGACTGGTTGTCCATTGTTCGGTCTGTTATCCTGGGCCCTGATTGGTCGAGCACGCGACCTTCGGGCCTGCGTTCACAATCAGATTGGTGCTGGATCGACTTGCCCTTGATCTCCCTGGGTTTCAGCTTATGAGCTTTGTTGCTCTAACTCCAAAGAGTTTCTTGGTTTGTTAGTCCATGAACAAATGCAAATACACTCCTTTGATGATAAGAATGCTTCTTTCATTGAACGATGTGCCATTACGATTCGCAGTTATGTCCATCAGGCTTTCCCTTTCGTCATGAACAGTCCACACTAAAGTGGATTGTACGGACCTGGTGAGACATTACTGGAAACCAGCAGGTTGGATTCGCACGTTCCCCAACTCTGTTGAGCGGGAGTTAGGGGACGATTTTGCTTCCTTACTTACTCTCATGATTACGTGGAGGCAGTGGATTAACTCGCGCCGACCACGTATGCCAACCATGAGTAAGCGACGGACCAAGATTTCCCTCAATGACTTGCTAACATAGCTGGCTAAGAATGTCGGTACGCAGAGTCGGTATTTGCAGTCCTGAAGTTGTCAAAATGATAAACTTCAAAAAGACCATTTCTAGCGTATCATCATCAACGTCATCACCAGCAAAATCCGATGAGATCGCCGGTGCCTCACCACTGTATAACCATGTCAGTTTATCACGACAGAGCGTTATAATGAAGAATGTGGCAAAAAGGGGAACCTACGGCTAGCCTACAACAAAAAACCGAGATGATCACCCCTGCAACACTCAGCCAGACAATCTGAATAGGATCTGGCATCAAAGCCACTGACACCGGTTAGCCGGTATATCGCTATCTGCAGCCAAGCACAGGAAGGGTCACGTGAACCTCGGCAGAGAAGGTGAACAGTATTCAAGCTTTTTTCAAGATCACTGCCTTGTCAAATTCTGTCCACCTCTAGGTTCTCACGGCTCCGAATTAGGCACGGAAAACGACGGCGTCTCGCCAGGTGGTAAGTTAGTCACCGCAACAAACGCCATGTTCAGCTAAGCTTGCAGTGCTGGACGCCTTATTTGATTAAAACGCCGTCTCCTGATCAGCTCATCGGGAATTGGTTGTTTCTAGCCGAATCCACCTACAGTTCTGAAACATTAGTTGTCAAGTGCCTGAAGATGTCTACTGAAATATACCCACTCGTAATACTAAGATTCCTCGAATACCGTTCCCTTCACGATCAGTCCAATGTTGCCACAGTCAAAAGCACACGGAAATTCGAAGCACCGACAGAAAGTAACTTTCTTAGCGCGCAGCTACAGATGCTTCAGTTCACACGATTGCTTACAGTTAAGGGCAGTGAACTGAGAGAACTCTAACCCTGTCTTATCGTCCATTAATTCAACTATAGTTGAGGTAATATCCATACGGGCGGAAAACGTCGATGCCGGGGGAAAGCAGACAACAGTCCTCTAATGTTGGGCCGAAGCCGCTTGCATTTGGGCGCTGCTAAGGCCAGGAAGCCTATCGCCCAGCGACTGGCCAAAAGATCGGGCCACTTGCCGATCCAGCAACAAGGCGAGCTCTGATTGGCCGAAAGTCTGGACCCAACAGCCAATCATGATCCAAGATCCGCCGAATGCCGGTTACCAATGGCGCGTCCAGAAGGCGTCAGAATTTCCAGAATGTTGTCGACTCATATACTTTATATGCGACGCGGTGTACAGATGTTTTTGAGCTTGTTTAGGTGCGTTTGTTACATGTTATGCACCTTTGGTGGTTCTATTGACGAGAACACTAGCTTGGAAAGTCCAAATCGAGAACTGAGCTGACCACCTGTGCAGCTGGCTATGAAATACAGACTGGTACTGTGGAAGATTAAGTAGGCCCCTGTTAGTCACTTAAAATTTTGATACGAAACCAATCTCCCCCTAAATAGCAAAATTCACGGAGGCAATGTTCATACAGAAAAACAACCAGTGTAATTTGTACACTCAACATCTGGTTGATAAAATAATCTGGCCGCGATATATATAAACACGAAAAGGAGTGCTCAGTTTTCGTCACTGAAAGCACTGATATCAAAATGTACAACACGACAGTCAAGGGTTTCCAAGTGAACAAGTACAATAGAAAACGACTGGGAAAACCGCGGGACGGCAACCAAAAGCGCACCGCATGGTTCCTTGTGGACAGAAGGTTTCAAAGATCTGTCCTTCCAACTCAGCCGTGCACGTCTCCAAGACGGTTTTTCCCCCGGTTGACATCCAGCAACGTAGATGTCCGGATAGTCCGGAGAAAGTCTGCTGTCTGCAGATGATGTTTCCATCAATAATAGGTCATTTTTCAAAAGTGGATAACCGGGAAGCGTATCTGGACAAGTGGGTGCAAGATGTCCCCACAGTAGCGTGGCTTCCATCCGATCACATGGAGTTTCAAGATCAGTATAACTGAAAAAGGTAGGCCAAAAGAGACATGGGGCGAGAGATAGAACACAAAACATGTGAGCGATAAATCTTCATTTGGTACAGGTTACTCTTGTCACAAAGTGAAGAACAGGAACCAGCAAGACACATCCACATCACTTCCATCTCAACAGTCCCCTCACTGTCCTGGTCCGATGATGATGGGTGAAGCACTGGACTCGAGTTGACTTCCATTAGAGTCCACCAACAGTACACACATATCCTGGACCGTGTTGGAGTTTCGACTCCGGACACGCAGTACGTGTTGGACGCAAATGAATAAGGACGTATGAACAAACAATCTTGTTCACACTCGCGATATTACTGGTTGACCCGAAGTCTCAAACGATGACCTGATGTCCTGGTGTCGATCGGGCAACTCAACCACATCGCTCAAGGGTGAAAACGTTCACTTGTTCAGCCATGATAATCCCGAGGCGTCCAGCGTGTCATGATGGAGTAGTGGTAACGTGCTCTCCTCGTAATGAGCTAATGAGCGCGGAACTCGGGTCCAGTGCTTCCCGTTTTGTTACGGATTAACCAGAATAATTGAACCCATATTCAAACACCTACAAAATTCAGTAAGGATCTTGTTGTGTCTTGCTAAACGGTAGTGCAACTCTGTATCGGTCCCTTGGCTTCCTGCTCCGCCCACCAAGGTATAGCAAAAGCCACGGTAGCTCTACACAGCCCTTTACGGAGACAAAGGAAAATGATCACAGCTGTATTTATAGGGTAGTCACGGAGTGTTCCACAAGGTCGTGCCAGAATCTCCGTGAGGGTGAGAGAAGCGTCGAGTCAAAGGTGTTTGACTCGGATTGGTTGGCATTCTGACCAATCAGCGCGTGCCTTCGTTTGGCCCGTGTCCTGCACGTGACACATCCGTCCAAATGATGTAGTGTTCGGTTATTAGGGACGGCTGCCCTCCGTACAGACCTATCCCAGCGTGTGGCTTGTTCAGTTCATGGAGGAGATAATGTTCAGACTTCTGAAGGGCTTTAGATTGCTCGCTTGAAGCCGTTCCCTTGCCATAGAAGCGCTGGCTCAATGTGACGAAAAGGTACGCACTGCGGTTCGTATGCTAAGGAAGAAACGACAGAACAGAACCATTCCTATCTTCAAAATAGATGCTCCAAATCTGCTGCAGTGGTTTGCACATCAATTTCGATTTAAAAAGACATACAACCGAATCCGACCTGAATAGTTTGTTTACGATGCCCTTTTTTTAACTGAATTTGCTGCACAAAGGACGCCCCACGTTTCACTTGTTACGATATGCAAGATACCGCAGTATGGCTTCTCAAAGAAGCACTTGTCATAGGATTGCTGAAAACTCCTCGACAGCACAAGACCGGTTTCACCTTTCATCTTCGGTTCCATCAATTTCCCTTCAGTCGTCAACCTTACGTTCTACTTGAACTCAAATTGTGCGGGATTCGCGAAACACACCCATTTGCAAATATGAAATATGCTTCTAACGAGAGACCCAACTGAATCCTGAGTACCTAGATTCGTTCAGCTGTAACACCCTTCCGGTGCCTAGCCGCTATGCCACTCGGAGGAGGCACGAGGGCTAGGATACTGCCAGGTCGCCCAGGCCTAGACAGGGGAAGTCGAGTGGCAGAGGTCGGGTTCGAAACACGGACCTTCCGGTCAGTGAATTCGCGCTCTAACCACTTGGGCCATGTCGTCCTGTCCACGAGGTAAACAGTATGCCCTACCTGGTCTCCTAAACATTCATAGGTGACGAATAGTTTGCATTGAAAAATCGAGAAAAAGAAGCTTCATTCACGCCTAGAACAAATACACACTATCCAACACCCAAAGTTATCTTTTCTGACGATATTCTCAACCTTCCCGGTATATGCGCCATGAGCCTGCTAGCAGCATAATAGAGTTGAAATCGCAGAATAAACAGAGGAGAGGAAGACACGTACAGCGATAGGTCGTTCACTCCTTGACCTGAGGTAGCCAATATCTTCCGTCCAAACACAGAACACGCGTAGGGATTTGTTCGGCCACAGAGCCCACCGCAGCCAGTGCCACCGGCGCGAGCCACCGCAAGTGGAAATGCGGACGGGTGAATAGGTTGTTGTGGGAGCAGCTGAGACGCTGCATCTGATGGACCAGGTAACAAATCCACTGGAAGCCCATTCGCAGCGGTGCGGGAACGGACGTGTCCGGGACCAAGCGGTAACGTAGATAACCATGAATCCAACAGGGCCATGGCGGTCACACTACCTGCATCTGCATTTCGTGTTAAGTAACGCGCCTGAAGAGTGAGGAGAAGCAGTCGTCAGTGAGTTAAAAATTCATTCAAGGTGCTCTTCGAAGTATGGATCATCTTCAAAGAACCTTAGGACTAGAATCACCGTAACCTCAAGTTGGTCAGATGTTCGATGACAGCGGATACTGATCCCTTCTCGCCGAGCACTGATGAAATATCGATGAATGTTCTCCCGAACGAGATAAGTCGACTTGCTTTGGACCATGTTAGATGGTATACTGTATCTAAGCGAGCGGCTATATTCCCAGGTTGATTGAGAAGTTACCATCAGGGAAATAATCGCCCTGGTAAGGTCACAGAAAAAACGAAACATTACAAACGAGAGATTCAGCTGGGTTCCAGGTGAGTCTCCCGAAAAAAAAACAAATTAGTTTGCAAATGAGTGTATATTCGCTAATTTCGTGCAATTTGGTTTCAAGTAGAACATAAGTTTGACGGGAACCCGGGGACTGCGCCTACCTGATGAGCCCCAATAGGGGCGAAACCGGTCGCGGGCTGTCGACGGATTTTCAGCAACCTTATGAATAGTACATTACTAAGAAACCAGCCACCGATTACTTGTCAGAGAGAACACTCAGTAAGGACGAGAGAAGAAACTAAACTTGACAGTGAACGAAAAGGTAATACAAGCAGAGGAAGTAATCCCTAGCGCTGAATCGGTGTTCCAAAAGCTTCCTTCAGCAGAAATTGAGGAGCCACGGGTGCGACGGTCACAGTCCTAGAATTCCAACAACCAGGAGCTCCGAATATTGCACCATCAGAGCGGAGAGCTTTGAACACACTGAGGCAAACACAGCAGTACTGAACAAGAGCGACTACTTTCAAAAGGCCAAGCAATATTTAGCCGATGGACCTTGTCGATAAATCGCCAGTAGCAGTCATCATCGACTGCATGACACCAGTGTTCAACACTGATGCTTCACTGCCGTACAACCATGGTGTATTTGAGAGCCTTATTGTAAAGAAAAGAGTAAAGGTGGACGGGGCAAGGACTTAGTGGTAGCTTACCACAATCATTCCGCTGCTCGAATAGGCCAAGTCTCACAACCATACAACAAAACAGCCCGTACTGTAGCTTGATACACACGTCCCTTCAGATTCAGGGATAAACCATTCTGACGCCATAAGTGTCTCAAATTAGCAAACGCAGCCCGGGCCTTGCAGCTTCGTGCATCCACCTCATCTGTCACACTACAATCAGAAGTAATACAACTTCCAAGATACGTAAAACGCTCCACAACTTCCAGTACCTCTCCCTGGATCGTAAGTGGCGTGTTCAGTGACTGCACGTCCACGAGCATGACCTTACACTTTGTAGCGGTATTACTTCAATAGTGAATACCAGTAAGGCTGGAGTGAGTAGACATTTAAGATCCATGTTAAACCATTTAGGGCAAGGTGTTGGCTATACCCACAAAGTACGGTTCAAGCCTGACTCTACGGACTGCCTGAAACCCACAAGACAAATGTTCCGATAACACCAATAGTGGACGACACAGGCTAGGCACCACATGAGCTAGCCAGATTCTTAGTTTAGTCACTCACGGGGAAATCAAGCATCTTCATTAGGAATTCGTACGATTTTGCAGGAATTCCTTTAGAGAGGACAAAGTTCTCGTGAGTTTTCACGTCATCCCCAGGGCGGATAATTTTGAGGCAATCAAGAAGTTGTTACTAACAGCCCTGACACTTAAGAAATGGACACTGCTCTCAGTGGATGAAATATTTGAAGGTGTGGTTGAATCTTGACCTTGATCTTGCCTCAGAACCTGGCCAACGTGGTGATCTGTTCATTTGGCCTGATGAAGCTTTTGGGTCAAAAAAAGTCGTTCAGCTGTAACACCCTCCGGTGTCTAGCTGCCATGCCACTCGGAGGAAGCACGAGGGCTGGGATATTGCCAGGTTGCCCAAGCCTAGACACGGGAAGTCGAGTTGCAGAGGTCGGGTTCGAACCACGGACCTTCCGCTCGGTAAATTCGCGCTCTAACCATCTGAGTCATCTCGACCCTTTGGGTCAAAAGCGAAACGTTGCCCGAATAAAAACTACCGATTGTTTATTAAGCCCTTCTGAAACGATGACTTCTCAATCGGTTCCAATCCTGATCAATTTGTTTTTGACTCAGCTGTTTATTCTGGACTAAATAAGAGTGACAAATACATGAAAACTACCGTCTATGAGAAACCAACAGGCACAGGAGCCGTTCTAAACGGTTTTTGAGCTATTATTATTTCATCAATGCTTGGTCCAACCAGAGCGCTGTGCGCAGAAGAGATCTACCTAACAGCAGCTCAAATCGAGCTTGCCAACAGACTTGAAGAAACAGGATACCCAGTGAGTGAGGGAGGATACCGGGTCTGATATCTACACCCAGTAAGGAGTAGATTGGCAAAGCAGTCATTTCGTATACAGTAGGAACAGTGTGAATATGGCCAACATTGGAGTAACGCTCCAGAAGGGGAAAACGCTACACTTAGTTTTGGTGCACACCTGAATTGGAGAGCACAAGAGAAGGATAAACAAACCTTTAGGACGGATACCAAGCACCCAGCAACTACTGAGTGATGACGAGGCATGCGTTAGACACAGAACAGGTCTAGAGATGGGGGGTGCGATCACATCACAGCGACTGATGACCGATGTGGCCAAAATCATTAGGCAACACAGCGTGAGTAGAATCGATGGTGTGAAAGTGGCGAGCAGTAGGCCGAATTGACAAGTGGCGGCGTGTGGTTGTCAACATGCAAAAGGGAGTGGGGAGCCCAACCCGACCAAAGTTCACGGCTATCGTAGCACTAGCTCATCAGCAGAGATGGACAAAAAGTACAAACGACGTTCAAGAGGGCTTTTCACATGAAGCGAACTGGAAGAACCAGACTCTAAGCTGGACAAAAATCCATGTCTATATTTTTGTAATGCACTACTCATAAGGTTGCTGAAAACTCTTCGACAACTCACGACCGATTTCGCCCTTCTACTTTGGGCTCATGCAGTCCCCGAGTTTCCGTCAACCTTATGTTCTGCTTGAGACCAAATGACACGAAATCAGCGAAATACACTCATTTGCGAACTAATTTGGTTTTTCGAGAGACTCACCTGGAACCCGGCTGAATCTCTCGGTTTTGATGTTTCCAGGTTCTTCATCGACCCTAAAACTTGCTAATCCACTCTAACTATCAAAACCCCCTAGATGACAACTAACACCGAGTCAGCCCTACTCAGTTGATTGGTTGTCCTTCCGTCTTGAATCTCTACCAACCTCGTAACCTAATCACTCGACCTGACCGAGCGTTAATGCCATCCGTCTACTGTTTTCCAAACTTCTCCAAAGATAGGAACTATACCTGTTGTGTGAGGTGGGTTGGACCCGAAGTCGCATCTGTTGAAGTCGGAAGTTGAACAGAGTCACCAAGAATCATCAGACGAACGATGCCGACACCATCCGTTGACGGATGTAAATCACCCGCAGAACGCAACCAGTCGGCCAATAGCTGGAGAGCCATGGAGTGACCCGGTCGGGTTTGTCCAGCACCGTTGAAATCCAATCCGGATACAAGTGCCAGCCAAGGACCAGAAATATGGAACCGCATCCAATCTGCACGCTTTGTGTTTGTTGGCAAACTGTAGATCGGTTTTTCCGGTTGGGGTTCGAGAAATAGTATGTCTTCCACGTGAAACGACCCTGATACAGAATGATTGACAAGAGAACAGCTGACGAAGAGTAAGTTGGGATGTATGAAAGCGACAGAAGCGTCTTTTTCTAAAGTATTAGACGAGTTGCCAAACACAATCAAGGTTGCGAAAGGTGAGCAAATGTATCTGCTGACATGCTGCGACGCTCAACTAAGTCGGTTTCTAGTGAGTAGCTTGAACGAGTCGATGATGGGGCTGCCTAATATTCATATAAGTCCAACTTTCACCTAGATATGTTCAACACTCTGCCAGAAAGCCAGTTCCATATCATGATTGTTTGCTGTGGGTGAGATTGGTTCAGTTCGGTGCCCAGCTACCCGAAGGAAACACAAGGGACGGGATACTCACAGGTCGCCCAAGTGTAGACAGAAGCAGTCGAGGTTGGGTTCGGAACGCGGACCTTCCGGTCAATAAGTTCGCGCCTTAGCTACTGAGCAATCTCATGATCAGGCTTCATTTTAACTCAATATTTACTTACTGTTTGCTAATCACCAAAAGTCCTTAACAAATACGAGACAGTTTTGAGGTTTTGCGGGATTGGTATTTTGTTCATAGTCACACCACTCTCGTTTGAACGGTCGCCCTCCTGTTCTGGCGTAATTATTCTGGTGAGTCCACACCAAAGAGAAGCACTGGACTCGCTCTTATTAGAGCTCATCAGCAGTGCATATCCAATGGACGTGCCGAGATTTGAACCTCGGACATCTAACATATGAGGCGAGCGGGTAAGCACTACTTCACCAACACACGTTGAACGCAGCTGAATGAGAGACAGCTTTGAAACACGGCGAACCCCGGGGGAGATAGCCAAATTGTCCCAAGTCCGGGGATTCCTTGTGCGGGGTTTTTACGAATATGTATAGGAATGCGCAAGAGAGGTAGGTGTGCTTGTTCCGAATTTACTCTACGGGACAGTAGAAAAAGCATATTAACCATTTTGAAGGGCATTTCTGTACAAACTGCAGTGTTGCTTCGTGTACGCCAGCATAGTAGTATAGTATAGTATAGTATGGTATAGTATAGTGTAGTGTAGTATAGCATAGTATAGTGTAGTATAGGAGTCACCATCGCCATTTACAGCTACCCAGAGTAAGCGGCCACATCACGTGGGGAAGCTCTCGGTAGATGGAAGGATAAGATAGCTCAGTGGTTAAGGTGTGAACTTCCTGATCGGCAGATCCGTGGTTCGAACCCGACTTCTGCCCCTCGACTTTCTCTGTCTAGGCTTTGGCAACGTGGCAGTATCCCGGCCCTCGTGCTTGCATCGGGTGGCACGGCAGTTAGACAGCGGAGGGATGCAACAGCTGGACGATTTTTACAAAGTAGCCGGTTCATTCACATTACTCGCGGTGACGTTGAAATAGATCGATGCGCGCACTGGAAGGCCCGCGGTTCGAACCAAACCCCTACATCTCGACTACTCTTGTCTAGGGTTATGTAACCTGGCTTCCTTAGGGGGTGGCAGCTAGGCAACGAAGGGGTGTTGTAGCTGAATGACTGTTTATTTTTTATTTTTCCTCGGTTGAAACCCATGCATCTAACCTAATAATAAAGAATAATTTCATTCAGGATGATCAGAGTAAAGCACATAAACAGTTTCTTCTTTGTGGTGTAATCTATCGACTGCCGTCTACCGACTGACGTCCATTGGTCGGTTTAGCAGTCCGTTGAAGTGCTTGTGTCATCGCCGACACGTCAACGTCCAGGAGAGTTTAGGTCATCTTGATGATTTATCCATAGATAACTCTCAAGAAATCGTAACATGGCTCGTGCTGCCGCCGAGTAGCAGATTCTTCTATCTGCTGGCGTCGGTTCTTCGATCGACTGACCCTGATTTGATTGAGTCATTTCAAACCTCTCAGCTTTCGCATCTTTGCCTGGCTGTCCGGATGGGTAATAGCTGCGGCGCCTCGGTTCGCATCTTTGCCTGGCTGTCCGGATGGGTAATAGCTGCGGCAAGCGCCTCGGTTGCCGCTACCTTTTAAGGTCGATTGCCCACGTTATTGACTGATGCCGCAAGTCCAGCGACGCTTCTACTAATGGGCTGGATGAATTTAAATTTTTCCTGTATTGTCAGTACAAAACATACGGAGCTTCTGTGTGAATATATAGGATGACTAAATGGCCAAATATGGTCGTTCACTTGTTCGCTCTGTACAGCCAATGGCGGTGTGCCGGTCGTGAACACTCTCAGCCCCACTGCACTGGTCTTATGTTGCTAAGCCGTGTTTGGTTAGCTCCGCTTTCCGAAACGTGTCTTGCCGATGGTGACCTTGGGGATGGGTCATTCTCTGCGCATGTGCTTTTTTAATGTCTGAGCGAGTTCTGACTGCCGTAGTGTGGCTACCAATCTCAATGCTAATCTGCTTTCATAAAAGCTGATGGTCCGCACCACAGTTGGCTCGTGATGCATAACGCTCGAACTGACAAACGGTCACATAACCGGTTAGCTGACGGTGGTCACTGAGTGTCTACCCATGTGGCGATACCATGGTGTCTGACAGCTGTTGGCTATAGAGAAGGATCACGTGATTTAAAGCCTTGTGGCAAGATGGCCTTGTCGATCTTCGGGGCTGATCGAAGGAAAGCATAAACTTCAATTCAGAACTTTTCTTTGTGGTCTTCTCTTGATGAGAGATAATGCACTTTATTGTGAAGCAAGTGGTGGATTCATTCCACGGGGTTCTTAGTCAGGCATTTTGGTGCAGTCGAATGAACCCGTTTTCATTCGACTGGGTAACCAATCCTGTAAATGTATCCGGAAGCAGCTTTTCGAATACTTCCCTCATCGGCCAGCCGTGTTTTGATCAGATCCACGACATCTATTCAGCTTATTTTGAGTCCCACCATTGGATGGCGATCTTCTTAACGGGTTAGTGCGAGTTTTTGGACGTTCCGGGAGCATACGATAGGCGGACACCTGAGAAAACCCGATCGCTTCCGACCTAAATGCAACAGAGAGGAATTAGTACGGACGATTACACTCGCTCCCAGATATTCAGTATGGGTCGTGAATTAGACCGAGCCTCAGAACTTTTATTATTGGCATTAGTATGTTCTTGACCGAAGTTATTTAACCCAACTTCGGCCGCACACCGAGGAGAGATTAGGGCTGCTTCATGGGGCGAAATGGCTCTTCATGAGGCGAGATGACTCAAGTGGTTAGAGCGCGAATCTACTGACCGGAAGGTCCGTGGTTCGAACCCAGCCTCTGCCTCTCGACCTACCCTGTCTAGGCTTGAGCGGCATGGCAGTTAGGCACCGAAAGGGTGCTACAGATGGACGATTTCATTTGTAAAGCTGTCTCATATCACCTCTCTCTTTCCCAATGTGCCCGTAGAACGAACATTGCCTGAGCGTCTACCCAATCAACCCAGCATGCATCGCATCCGAGGCAGTGCACGGCGACAGTTGGAGTCCGGTGATGACAGAGGACTATCCACCGATGAAAACAACCTGATACCAGATACGCACGGCAAACCAAATCTACAGTATGAGCTGAGTACTGCTCTCGTGACAGCAGTCCATATCAGGAATACTTAGGTGGACAAGTTGAGCGACCTGCTCTCTGTAGACGGCGAGTGTGCGTTTATGCATAGCAGCGGTCTGAGTCATTATGGCTGAGTTCAGTCTTGGAATTTTTGGAAGCGTGATGCCCCGAGGAACATCCTCATCTCACGCTTGAATGCAATACAACTAATTCACATTGTCCACCCCACAGAGGACGGTGTTTGCTATAAACAGCTGGACGAGATAAAACGGATAAAAACAGAAGGGAAAACCCGGCAACTCAAACCATGGGTTTGCGATGGTGAATCACACTAGGCCCCTGTATACCATATGTACACGCACACCCGTGAAAACCCGCATATCGTGTACTCCAAATCAGCTGATACGAGTGCGTGATAACGTGTGTCTGAAACTATGTGGATTAACTTCTAACATGGCTGGTGTTCACCCACCCGGCTGGCTACATATTTTTGCATCAAACATCAGCTATCTATATTCATTTCTATACAAGTGCACGAAGCGCAGCAAGCACTATAACCCCGGGGTAACCGCAGAGTAACTCTCAGAACTTTCTGAGTGCACAATACAGGCCAGAATCGATTAATCCATAATACCCGAAAGAACTTCAGTGTATGTAGGCAACCGTTTCGTACTGGGAGTTGTAGAGAAGAGCAAACTTCGGCTTTACGGCCCGTCTCGACTAGACACCTGGTTATTGATTAATTGATTAATTAATTATTAATTAACTACATCAGGGACAATTGACAGGTGCTCTTTTGATCGCATTTCTAGCCTCCTCCGCAACTGCAGATGAACTCGTAAATGCAATGGCTCGCTGAGAAAACCGACGTTGAAGTCTTGATCGGCGGCAATGATACGGTCCTACTATTTGATCTAACGATCAATTGTGCCACAGCGAATGAAACTCCCAATGTTAATGTGAGTCGTTTGAAGAAGCTACTGAAGAGTCTTTCAACTACATCCACACGGAGTAAGTGATCTACCAGTGTAACGGTGTACACTACTGACGAAATATGTGAGTAGTGTCAAGTTAGCTGTCGAAGCACCGTCCCCGCATCTGCGAGATTGTTAGTACGGAAAATTTGGAACCACTTTGCAGTGCTTCTTTATTATTGTTTAATATTCAAAGAGGACGCCTGAGATTGTTCACTTTCCAAATACTCTGTGCTAATGAGATTCCTATCTTCGTGTCTAACAGCTTATGACCAGTCAGTTCGCGTTGGCCAATTAAACAACTGTGCACTGATGGGCATTCTTCCTCTCACCAGTATGGAATCAAACTCTTACAGAGGACGAGGGTGCGCATGAAATATATAAGGTGTTGTGTAAAGTGAATAAACAAGTTTCACCGTGAATCGCGGATCAGATCGAACGGGTGATGAGATCAAAAAGAAAACTGAACGATCCCTACCTTGCGCATGTTCAGGTTCAACTCCGAGAAGCGCCACGACCACACCGGTAGCCAGGTTTGTAATAGACACCCCATTGAGACCATCCATGACCACGCGAATGCGCTGTACATTATCCTCGAGGAATATGCTGTCATCGGACGACATCAGCGTATTGAGGGTATCTCCCTGGAGCTGGACACCGCCCTGACCAAACTCCGAATTGGCTAGGTCGCGAAGAATACTTGGTTTCAGTTTCATCTCCTGAGCAGCAAATGTGAACCAGGCAGTTGGACAAAAGTATAACAAAACCCACTGGGAGTGGACAACAGTTAAGAGAACACCAAACCTGACGAAAGCAGTTATAAGGACTCACTCCCTTAGGGGTTCATGAAAGGGTAGAAATAAATCCGACGCTAATAAAGACAGATAGCACAGGTGTGCTCCGAAGTTGATATCAGTGGATTAACGAAATCAACCACAGAGATGCAACGGGTAGGCCGATGGACTCACCAGACTGAGATAGACAACGTCGAAAACAGTATCGTGGTAGAGCTCCCTTGTGCTTACATAGGAAAGACAATTGATGCATTCGACTTGCCGTCATGATAATTAACCCATCCATTTGCTTACTCCGTCCATGTACTTTTGATCTCCACCGACATTCACTTTGCCGCAAAGGCCGCGCCCGTCCGACAGGTGTAGATAAGCCTTGAGTGTGTGTGTGTGTGTGTGTGTGTGCGCAGCGGATCTACATGCACATACATGCTCGTCTCCCGAAATCACCGACAGAATGATATCAGTGTTCTGGTGGTTGATCAGATGGCAGTTGATTTGTTCGCCGAGCTTGGCTTGCAAACGTTTCCTACCCAGTCGAGGAGACATCGTCAGTGCGCAGTTGAGTGGGTGCTTCCTCCGTGCCTAGCCGCGTTTATGTGGTTTTTTAAGAGTGTCTAATATCCTGTCATGTGAGTGGCTAGTTGGTATATACCTTATGTTGCATTATTGTAGGACCGACCATGATTTTTGCTGCGTTTTGGTATGTATGCCTCTTATTCCATTGGTTTGCTGGATGGCTGCTTTGAGGTGCTTCAGGTCTGTTTGCAGTTGGTCCGCTCCCGGTCTCGCTTCCTTGAATGTGGTTGGTAATGACGGCGGCTTCTATTTTTGGTAGTGTCCTTGTCGATATCAGTGTTCAACACCGGTGCTTCACTGCCACAGTGCCGTCTGCTAAGCTGTACTGATTTGCTCTGACATGATTTCCGTGTGATTGCACCGCCAATCAGAGTCACGAGACTGCCCTCCGAAGGGAGGATCGAAACCCACACTGCCGAGTCAACATTTTGCTCGCCACTGTCTGGTGTGCGAGCTTTGAGACCATCTTGTACCAGTCAGTAACGAACGGACTTGCTTGTTTGTTGATGCCACGAGCGTTAACAACTGAGGCTTGTTGTACTATTTGGCGCACTTTCGTGAAAATAGTATCGTAGACTTTCGAACCCACTCCTTCGCTTTGATATCCGGGACTGTCAAAGCTACACGTGACTCAAAGTTTCGTATCGGCAACCTCAATAACGATGATGTAACGTGACAGTCTGTACTTCAGAGCATCACCTTTGAACGCCACGACAGCACAGAAACGTACATTTGATGCAAGTTCAAGCAAGATTTTTAAATAAACTAAAAATCAGTGGTGAAAGGCCAGGGCGGGAACGAACATCTGATCACGTGACATAAAGAATCGACAACTGGATCTTCCTGTATCGATTCAGAAACAATCATGTAATCTCCATGACCAAGGCACTTGGTCACCAGAAAAAATCAGCACGGTTGGCAGTGTTCTTAACAGGAAACGTGGAGATGTGTGCCAATTCGAATCGGCATCTAACGCCAGCTCAAATCAATCGCTGCAAATGAACGTAATTTCGATAGAGGTTGAATACCTCCCTACGTTTGACTTTGTTTCGAAGACGTCTCCAGCTATCTACCAAATGGGTGGGAATCTGACTGTATGAAAGGCGTTCTGAACTAAATGCATTCGTCCCTCCACCGGACATAAACGTGGATAACAAATCAGACATGGATTATTGAAGATCCTCTATAAAAATGTGCCTCTGCATGGCCTAAGGTGGTCAGTAAGCTAGGCTGCGCTAGAAGTTCAATATCATTGATTCGTCACATCGCTACGCTCCGCAACAGCGAACTGACGCTGTCACCTCGAACGGTGATGAAACCGTTGCATTCCAACTACCAACCTGAGCGAGCAAATGAGCGACCAACGATATATTCTCTTCAACAGCAGTTCGCTTTTCCCGCCCCAAAAAACCTGCTACCATGTAGCCTCCGTTGAGGACCTCTCGTCGTCGTGGTCCCACCACACTCAAGGGGTATGTGCGGATGTCGTTCGCTATAAATTGGATGACGCTACGCTGATCTCCAGTCCCCGGGGCCAACAACAATGTGAACATGGATCAGCGCCAAAAGACTGGAGGGTTAGATTAACTTTTAAATCCAACTGCCATAGTAAGGAGGCTTGTAGGTCGCACTTACCTGTACAGACGCTCTAGGGATGTAACATCACGCCATACTGAGGTATTCCCTAATAAACGTCGCGCCTTCTATAGCCTAGCGGCCGCAGCAGATGGACCGCGAGCCACAGCCCCCAAAATGCGAAAATCTCTCCAATAAGTGTTAGGATATCGGGACAACCACCCAAATCGGAAACTCTGTGCAACCCACATGATTCGTTTAGCTGTAGAACCCTTTCGGTGCCTATTCCACCAGAAGGAAACAAGAGGGCTGGGATACTGTCAGGTTGCCCAAGCCTAGACAGGGTAATTCGAAAGACAGAGGTCGGGTTCGAACCACGGACCTTCCGGTCAGTAAATTCGCTGTCTAATCACCGAGCCATCTCGCGCATGATTACTACGTTGACATCTTCCGCGTCAGAATCTCAATTACCTAATCAAGAATCCCGGGTATCGTATTGCCGCGTCGCTACGGACGAGTCAGCAGTTTTGCTCAACTACCAATATCTCGGAGATCTTGCTAGCCTGCTTCAAAGGTCGCCTGTCTATATCGGTCTCCTCGGCAGATTCGACCACTCGACCAAAGATGAATTCTACGCCCAAGTACGCACTGTCGTGTGGCAACCGTCGAGAAACTATATCCTCGTGATAGCCGGTGAATGCAACGCTCGAAGTGACCCAGCAGCCGAAAGTACGCACCAAACTCTAGGACGCTTTGGCTCCAGTCATAGATTTGGAAAAGGCAGACCTCTAGTCAGTGTTTCTGATCTAAACCGAGTGTGCCTTCAATAGGCGCTTTCACATCCGACAGAGTGCCTCCTAAAGCGACCGAAAAACGGTATACCAACTGGATTATATTCTGACTCACCTTCGTTTGGCTTTTCCCCTTGATGCAAGGGACAGAAGCAGAACAATCAGCGCAAAAACGCGAAGCATCTAAGGTGGCTTACTGGGATGCAAGTCTTGACAAGTTGGAAGGGGCAGTGAAGACAGGAGCAACACACGCCGAAATTCGACAGTTCGGAGAGGGAAACAGGAGGTATCAAGACCAGTTCGAAAACGGAGAAAGCCGAAGTGGCGGGGATGGGGTGGAGAACGAACAGGCCAGATGCAGTTGAAAGTTTGAGAAAGACTGACGTGATAACACCATTGGAACATGGAAAAAAGAGAAGCTACATCTGAGTGAAGCGACAAGGGTTGGCGGTTATCTATTAAAGAGCGGGTGACAATGAGAGAGACAAAGTTATGGACCTGATCAAGGGCATCACTCCACCAAACATCACAAAACGATTCAGTGGTGGGACAAACTTGGGCCTTGAAACAAAGAAGGATATGAATTGGTGGAGGACATGGGGAAAGACCAGGAAAAGTTGCAAGCAGATATCATTCCAAATATGGTGAGGGATAAAAAGAGTGTTCAAGACACGTAGGGAGTTGAGAATCAAAAACACAACGCAAACTGAGGGGAAGGTGGGAACATTCAGAAGGGTTAAATGTAGACGGAATGTACTCAGCGATTTTAACAAGATCCGCAATCAGGATGCGGATGGTTCCAATCCGGTCGTCAGATATCCGTGTGGAAGCAGGGACGAAGAGGTGAGGCAACGAAGTGTGATACAGCCAGAAAATATAAGGATGCATGGAACAACGACTGGAGTACTGGTCACATAGAGTGCTAGTGTGGACAACTTGAAGGACGAAATCCAGACCGACCTACAACACGCGAGTCTAAAGAGAGCTGCCGATCCGATTGGTCAAGCTAGTGGATGTGGAATGTAAGGGGGAAGTACGGCAAAGTCCAGAACTCTCCAAATGTCTGGTGATACTAATTCAGCCCCATGAAAAGTCGAATTATAGAGCTGTACCTGCAATAAGTACACTAGTAGATCACCTGTAGTGCTTGCGCCCTTACTGAAAACCACTAATTTGGATGGTGTCTTCAATATCAAGCCAGTGCTTCAGAGAGCACAGGTCTACCGTAGATACAATTCAACCCTAGCCTCCCTATAGACCACAACCCATAGTTCGGAGAAGTAACGAAATACACAAGCTTTCGGGAGGTCAAAAGACATGATAGAAGAATGATCAACTGAGGTTCTGGTGAGCGTACCGGAGAGGCGATCGGACCAGTTCTTGAAATGGTCAAAACAAATCCGGACCAACTGTGTGACAATTTAGAGCAGATGGTCAAGTACCGGTAAATGTGTTGAATGGAAGAACAAGGTGTACAACAGATGGAACAACATGGCCTTACGTACCTTATACAAGGTCCCAAGAATAACGCATTTCTCGTCCGTTACCAGACTGTTCAGAGAGCGAATTGGTAACTGGTCATGATTAGGATGTTCGAATGCAGCCCACTGCCGAGTGGCTGCAGCGCTAAGCACCGGCTGAGCCGCACTAAAACGGGCCGTATAGATTTTCGAATATTGACGATGGAATGAAAGAGAGCATTCGGGAATCACGAATCGTGGAACAGTACAAAACTGCGCAGTCTCCGTCACATTGTTCGATAATGTCACAGTCATTTCCTAATGCTGTAAAAATAAGCAGGACAGAAAAGGGGAAGAAAAATTGACAACCTTCTCGAAATTGGCAGCTAATAAACTGAATGAGGGTGCTTGCTTAAGAAGATTGCCTTAACCACCAGAATCTTACGCTCTACAAGGAGAGAGGACAAAAGCCATGTAGATTTTGGTGCGCCGGTTTTCGAGAGTGTGAACAATCCACGTGAGATGCATCCAATCGGTCGCTTTCAGCTCTCACCACCCTCCTCAAATAGAGGATCCCCAATCCGACCGTTACAGGACCTTGTTATTTGGAGTTATTTTTTACGCAGTTGGTCACGACACTAGTATGGTCGTATGAGTCACGTCAATAGACGTGAATGCGACATGAATGCGTTTAGCTGGTTGAAGTGAAGGAATATAATGTTTTACACAGAGTTATGATGGTGGTCAAGTTTTGTGTGAATTAGCCTATTGGGGGAGATCAGAAATCGCAGACGACGGGGGCTGTTTCGGTATAGGTTGGGCAGGGACGGTCACATGACCCACCACTGATTGCTTGCAGAGTGAGAAAGGGATGGGAAGGGACATCGGCGGACAGAGAAGTGTGCGAGTGAATGATACTTCACGGTTTCCAAGACCAAGGAAGAGGGGTTGGTTGAGGTACCCCAGCTTAGGTCTTTGACGCGAAATTCCAACCCACAAGATAAGAGGATACATCTGCATTATTCTTCCTGCATACTCCAGATCGACAGCGTTTTTGTCGGCATTTATTTGAACGTCATGGCCTTGAAGACCTTCTAACTTCCGTTTCATCATCTCACCAATCAGGAAACTGAATAAAAAGGGGGAGATTGAACATTTTTGCCCAAGATAGATTTTCGCACAGATCCTTTCGGAGAGCTCCCCGCATTTTCTCGCCAACCAAAACCAGCAATGCTTCTGAGGCATCGGTGGTCAAAACCATGAAGAAGCCCCACATCATCTGTCCGCAGGGGCCACGTCTCCCAGCCGTACAACAACATATCCCTTACTGTGGTATACGCGAGCCTTTTTGACACCACAAGTGATGCGAATTAGCAAACGAGATTAGGGCCTTTGAGATTCTTCCACTGACCTTATCAGACACATTTCTCTCTCAGTTAATACAAGTACCGGGATGTGTACAATCCTCAACAGCCCCCAGTGATTCTTTGTGAACTGCAATTGTACGTTATGGAGCACGACTCTGAACTTTGAGGGTGCAAGATGCATGCCGGGAGATGGCGTGACGGTTGTCAGTCTATTCAACAGGACCTGTGCTCCACCTTGGTTTTCAAAGATGACAGCGATGTCATCTGCATACTCCAGATTGACAAGGTTCTCACCAGTAGTAGAACACAGGTGTTTTGAACACCTTCCAGCGTTTGTATCAGTACTTCATCAATGACGAACTTGAACAAGAACGGAGAGAGTGGATAACATTGTCGGACACCACTTTTTGTAGGGAAGCGTTTGAAGAATTCACCATAAACTCGTACATGCCCAGAAGTATATGAATGTTTTGACCGGATTATCTTCACAAACTTCTGGGACATACCCTGTTGAGCAAGTGTAGCTGACAGCACTAACCGATCGACAGAACCGAACGCACCCTTCAAGTCAAAGAAACACTAATACCGTGGGTCGCACGTAGATGTGGCGTTGCTCTCACACCTGGAGGAGTGTGAAGATGTGGTCAACACAGCCTCTACCCGAGCATAATACCGCCTGATTCTCACGAGTCAAGGTTTTGCGTGCCACCATAGTCGTTCAGCTGTAACACCCTTTCGGCGCCTAATTGCCACGTCATCCGAAGGAAGAACAAGGGCTGGGACACTACCAGGTCGCTCAAGCCTAAACAGGAGCCGAGGGGCAGAGGTCAGGTTCGAACCACTGACCTTCCGGTCAGTAAATTCGCGCTCTAAGCGCTGAGCCATCTCATGCCACCATAAGACAACGAAGAATCAGGGACGTCAGAAGCCTTGTTACAGCACCAGTCAAACTAACACCTCTGTGGTTATTACATTCACTGCGGGTACCCTTCTTGAAAATGAGCACTATTATCCATATACCCCAGTTGTCTGGGACAGTCTCTTTCTCCCTAATGGACCCAAATAGGCTAGACAGGCAGTGGCTGAGAAGCCCATCACCATCTTTGAACAGAGCAGGTGGAAGGTCTTCAGGACCAGCAGCTTGAGAGATGTTGAAGGAGGCTCCATATTCACAGTCCACCTTCCTGTTGAAGGCTGAGATTCCTTATTGGAAGTAGGAGGTGGCCAATTGAATTGTTGTTCGAAGCATTGTGCCCAGCAGTCCAAACGTTCTGCTTTTCTGGATATCAGGTGGTCATTGTGGTCCCTGATAATTTTGCTGACAAGGAGCTTCTGAGGACTAGTCAAACGAATCAAGTGAAGCAGCTCACGGACGTTTCCAGCATTTCACGCATCTTCCAGTTTTTTAGCTCTTCGGGTCCATCGAGCCTCTCGGTCCGCACGGACGCACAGTTTCACCCGGCGTCGGATGCATCGGATGGAGTTGCGGTTGGGGCCAGAGGAAATCTGTCGCCACTCCTCTGGTTGGTTGAGTTGCACCGGCTCTGGATATCTTCCGCCAGTGGCCGTTGATACCCGACATCATATCACCCGGCAAGTATTCGAGGAGCCACTTCTGAAGATTTTGTTTGATTTCTAAGTCCAATAGCTTCCCATTGGCTAAGCGCAAGTGCATGGTCGGGTCCAGGCTAGTTTTCCAGGAGCGGGAGGCGGTGATTGACCCTCATCACTGACAACTGACGGCGATGTGGTCAATTCGGATTCGGGGCTGATTAGTTGGGCACCATGTTGTCAAGCGATTTCCGCAGTTCCAAAATTATTACTGCAAAGGAACAGTCTGTAATTGGCATACAGGCGATCTCCGTTATCCGTGCCTCTCGTGTCTAATCCAAGATGACCACCTTATTGGGCCTCAGCAGTCTATCCACCTGAGCGTTCACCAGCAACCACAACGATATCTGAGCTTTTAGTCCACTGCAAAAGAGCATCTAGATCGTCATCAAGACGGTCTTTAGCAGATTCAGAGCTACAGTCGGTAAAGGTGTAAACGGACATAATAAACAGGGTGCGAACCTCATGTTATGGAGATTTTCGCCAAACGAACCGCGCACAGACGACTGTCAACGAGTATCTAATCAAGCAGAGACGCTTCCGCTCGTCTGCCCTCGGCATATCCAGCTGCAGCAGCCTCTGTATCACCAGAGTTGCGCAACCTGGACCTAGGAGATACTGAGGGTAGTCAGTTCAATTACAGTACTTCCGTCGAACATCCCTGTTTCTGACAGACGACATATACCAATATAGATGAAGTCCAACATGCTAGCATCAGCCACCTGTTTACATGCTTGCCTCAGTGGGCAACATTAAAGGCGGCTAATTAGACAGACTTCCGGGGTTCGAAAACAGATTTCGGAGTGTTTAGGGTTGTTACTGAATTCCGACGCACAGAAAATGCAGCTGTGTGATGCACGGTCAGTCCTAGTGCTGGGACCTGTGGAGGGAGGATTCAAATTTGGGTGGGTAGCGAAAAAGGGGGGAAACTTGAAAGTTGTCCCAACCTTGTGTGGTGCGAAGAGTGAAGTGACTTCGGATGAGTACAAGTCTCAAAACGAGAACCAGTCAGTTATTGAACCATACCATAGGTAACTGGCGGATATGTGATCAAGTTGGGTCCGAACGAAGCTGGGAGGATCATGTGATCAGAAGATTTCGACTAATTCGGAAGTTAACGGGGCACAAAGGTCTGTGGTCAGTACATAGCTGAAGCAGTCGTTCGCCAATGTCCGTACGTACCCAGTCCAATCCAATCGGACCACCCAACTGAAGCTTAGCTGTGCCAAGTCCTCCCTCTTGTGTATTCAAATATCTGGCAACCACAAACGATGCCTGAACTTTCAGTTCCTCGTAAAAAGCACTCAAGATGCTATAAAGTTTTTATTTTTGCCAGGGTTACAGTCGGCTGGAGCGGAAGCAAACACTAAAAACACAACGATTACCTTTCTACTCATGAGATCCCTTCACCGGAGTTGCCCGAGGGACCACAAAGAAGCGACCACCAATACATAGTCAAGCAAGGGTCCTCTTGACCGGGGCGCTTTAAACGACGCGGACCCCCGCACAGCCTGATGCAGAGGCCTCTGGAGCCACAAACGAGTGAGATATGACGGGGCGACTGGCACGCTATGTTCGGTTCTTGAATTCTTGCTAGTGACGTGCAGAACACATTATTGTCAGGCTAGTTTAGTGTGCGAGAGAGAGAGATCTGTTGTCCAGCTTGCATCAGAATGCGAATATGAGAAGCATACAGAAACCGAGCACTGATGTGTGAATTTTGACTTCAAGGTGCCTGAGAATGTGATCGTCGGCTGACCGATGCAAGACAAATGGAGTAGCAAGTCCCAACGGATGGACCTAAGAGAGCGCCACTATTGGGGATGGAGTGTAAAAGAAAACGAAGGGGGCGTCAACAGAGCCCGTTTCTGACTACCCACCCTGCTATGTAGAGCAAGTAAGGTGACTGGCGAATGAAACCACGCGAAGGCCAACGTGGCACGACAGTGCTATGGTTGCGGGGATCACGGTTGCACGCGAACCGGGATACTCTCAGGGAGGCCAAACCATCCGTGAACAGTTTTTCTGCAGGCAGACTGTCTCAGGGTAAGGATTCGGATGTCCAGTCGAGCAAGGAAGTCTCCACCCGTAAGCGAAGCTACACTAACACCAGCGCAACCATTTGCAGAACTAGTCTAGGTTGGTAGTCGGTAGTGTCCGGGGAATGAAAGTACCAAAGTCTGAATTATTGTACTTCGATCATGTTTACGGATAGGGTACTCAAAGCTCGCACAAAAGTAACTTGCCAGTCAGTTTACTCAGAAGTTCGCGAGTCAGAGGGTATGATGAGGGCGGAAAAGTGAGGTTTGGAATGCAGATCCGAAGCGTGGTGCGCAACCAGTAATCTTT